TGGTGGTAACATTGATCTCAGATTCTGGAGCCTCCACATCTTTTAGACCCAGGAACATCTATGACAAATAATTGTAGTTAATTATCTGTTTTTTCTTGTTATTAACAGGATTAATGAAACTTCAACGACATTGAATTATTTTTAACATGATTTCTGTTCTTGATTAAAGAGGACTATTATCTAAGGAAAGGACAATGGTTGATGTTCATGAAAAAGGAAGATGAATGTAAGGTCAATTTTCATTTAACTTCCTTGCAAGAAAATCAAATTGATTTTGGCCATGCATGGACCATTTTCTCTTGAGCCACACATTATTTCTTGTCTTATTAAAGAGGAGAAGGAAAAATGACAACCAAACAAAGCAATATAGCTATTGTCTATATTTTATCTTCTTCAATAATTAGCTACATGTATGCCGCTATCACTTATGAAATGTGCGTCCCTTTTAACTGGCACGCAAGAAAGAGAAAAGTGGAAATTTAAACTGTGAAAATCATTGGTAATAATAACTAGGAAAAATTGCTTAAAAAAACTTCACCACAATATTTATTGCTCATAAGGACTTAGAATCTGAGGAAGGAATCAAGTCATGTAGTGTCAATAAGTGAAACGAATAAAAGACCTAAATGCCCTTGACCAAATTCTCTTTCGCCTGGCTCTCCCTCCTCATCATTCAGCCGTAGCTTCGTGATTTCGATATCAATGATGGGTGGTCATGATTTCAACAGTGGTGACAATAAAGGAGAGAAAGGTGAGATCTTGATTTTAAAGATAGTGGAAGATAGAGTGAAGAAAGTTCAACCTTAGGGACTTTTCTTCAGTCTCAATAAATCAATCAGAATCACAGTGCTCCACACCACCTTGAATGTTTTCTTCACATTGCCACCGCATCTAATGAAGACTCATTTTGATGCCTTGTGAAGCCTTAAGCATCATTCTCATCTTGCACCAATTTCCTCCTCCCTCAATTTTGGCCCTTTCAATTGTGGGTGCTTCTATAGGGCTTTTATAAAGAGGTGGTGGATACACTAAGGATGACACAAAAGTAATTCTTATATAAATTCTATACATTTTGCCTATTCTGTAAAATTTTCTTTTTGTCTCGAAAGAAGATGATTCTCTAATGAAGGTTATCAAATTTTGTTAGACTAGGTAATATTTGATTTATCTATGGTAGCATCAATTACTAAAACTTGGTACTTTTACCATGTTTAAGTTGCTAATCTATTTTATGTTCATTTTAGCTCCATTTTTGGTCTAACTAGGATGGTCTAACTGAAATGTTCAAACTACTAGAGAAATGATAATAACTAATAAGCCATATATACCACTGTAAATTATTCAATATAGTCAATGCCTTTTGATTTCTTTAGCTGTTGACAAAATATGATGATGGTATTAGGGTAGTTCTACCATATTTTTTGTAATTCATAGTTGTATTGTGTTCAATGCTATTTTCCTCACAAGGCAGCCAATCTTCTGAGGAAATTATGATAGAAAATATGATGGAAAGTGCATATTTAAGATGACGAAATCCTAATCTTTTCATTGCCTAAAATATTGATGGTGTGATTGTTCTAGCCCCTTTCTTTATTAGATAATCATTCAATATTAGTATATAGCTTTATGACTATTGGGTTCCCATTTTTTGTTTACCAATTATTTCTACTTTAATTGTTAGGATGACTCTTTCAAATCCTTTTTTAAGTTTGAACCAATTAGATAGAGTAGTATTGTGATTTCAAAATTTGTATATTAGTTGTAAACCGTACTTGCAATGTCTATTTCTTCTTCAATGAGAATTCAATCCTAGCATTACTGTATTTTTGAATTTGTCATTTGGTGACCACGGTGAATGGAGCTAGTATGAGCATGACCTTTATTGTGTTTTTTTGTTCATGAATAATGCATGGAAGGTTGTGAGGGTCTTTGGAATCTCATAATATGTCTGCTTAACATTGTTGCAGCTTTGGTGGAAATTCTTTTATTTAGGATGGTTGTTCGAAAACTAAATCTAACAATAAAGAGAATTTAAAGGAAATTCATATTTTGTCTGGGACTCTCAGAAACTAAGTTCCAGTGATGTGGATGAAGACCAGCTGTATAGATGAAGAAGTTACAAGGAAGGAGAGAAAGAGAGTAGAGTAGATAAAAAAAATAGTAAAGAGGCTTGTTGTTATGTAATGTAATGTAGAAAGAGAATAGAGTAGCTTCATTGGAAATACAACATTAGTGCAATATTCTAGCTGTAACTTCTAAATCATATTCTGAATATGCATCTGTGATATTTTAAAAACACAATATTTGTGTAGCATTTTAAACCTAAATTCTAAGCCATATTCGAATATACATTTGTGATATCCTAAAACATAATGTTGGTGCAAAATTCTAACCCTAAGTTTTAAATCATATTTAAATATGCATTTGTGATATTGTGAAAGCATAATGTTGGTGCAATATTTTAACCCAAACTTTTAAATCATATTTAACTATATATTTGTGATATCCTGAAAATATAATATTGGTACAATATTCTAACCCTAATTTTTAAACCATATTTGAATATACATTTTTAATATTCTAAAAACACAATATTTGTGCAATATTCTAACCAAGTTCTAAGGCATATTTGAAAATGCATTTGTGATATTCTGAAAACACAATATTGGTGCAATATTCTAACCTGAAGTTCTAAGCAATATTCAAATATGTATTTTGAATATTCTAAAAAAATCATACTTAGTGTTATATTTTAGGATCATATACAAATATCTTCAATCATATGCAATCATTCTTTCACAATATGCAAGAACCCTTCAAGGAATAGCAAATTAGCTTCATTTATTTAAATATACATAAGTGATAGTTGAGTATATGAAAGAAATTATATTTTATTGAAGATCAGTCGCATATAAAAAAAAATCACATATACATACAAAGGTATCTATAAGGAATTTTAACAATGGATATTCAAATATGCAAAAATAATTTTTAATATATGGAAAAAAATTGCTTTTTGTTGAAAATCAGTCACATGTTGTGGGAAAAAAATCACATATGCATACAAAGGTATCCATAAGGGATTTTAACAAGAGATATTCGGACATGCAAAAATTATAGTCGAATAGATGGAAGAATTGCATTTTGTTGAAGACTAGTCACATATCATGGAAGAAAGGTTGCATGTATGTCCAAAAGTATCCATAAGGAAAATTAATAAGTGATATTCAAATATACAAAAATGTTATTTAAATATACGGACAAAATTTGCATTTCATTGAAAGTTAGTCATATATTGAGGAAGAGATATTGCATATGTTTTCAAAAATATTCATAACTGAAAGAATCGCTGCATATGATCGAAGGCCTTTGCCTCTAAGTCTAAAATGATAGAGCAATTCTCGCTCCAACTATTGAAATAGTTAATCAAGTTAATTGTTACATGTGTTCATTACTTCCTAGTGATTATGTTGAGTTCTTGAGTTTTGATTCAATTTGCAAGTCAATTGAAGACAGTGATTCATTTGATGATTTGTATAGTATTGAGTTTCTTAACACAATCACTTGCTCTGGATTACCTATTCATAAGCTCCACTTGAAGGTTGGGACCCCTATCATGTTGTTTTGTAATATAGACCAAGCCTTTGGTTTGTGTAGTACAAGATTGAGAACCACTCATGTTAGAAGAAATGTAATAGAAGCCATAACTTTAAATGGTTCAAAGCAAAATGAGAAAGTGTTAATTCACAAGATAGATATAAATTCTTCTAAAAGTAGATGGCCTTTTTGAATGCAAAGAAGGCAATTCTCAATTATTGTTTCATTTGCAATGACAATCAATAAAAGTCAAGGGCAATCATTGCATAATGTTGGGTTATATCAACCAAAGCCAATTTTCACACATGGTCAATTATATGTTGCATTATCAAGAGTTAAGAGCAAGGAAGGCTTGAACATTCCATTGCCTCATGGAACATGTATCACAACAAATGTTATTTATAGAGAGATATTTAGGAATTTAGTTTGGTATATGTTTTGTTTTTAATTGTTTTTAAAAATGTTTTACTTTACATGTAATTCCATAAGTTCTCCTTATAACAAGTTTGTTATTTTTCTAGAATGTGGATGATGTTAAGGTTTGTGAAAGTTAATTTTGTTGACTAACATTAAAATCATATAATTAGTTGCACGGGGGATTAAAGGCCAGTTTTTAGAATATCAAAAGTTTTCTTGTATACAATGAAAGTTCAAATACATATAGTAGAAGAATTATTATATATAATTAAAGGCCCCTACATATGACCTTCTTTGACATATTGACACTAAAAGAGCCTATATTAAGTGTTGATATGAAATTATTAATAGCAAAGGACCTAGTGATATATTGATAGCAAATGACCTCATGTGAAATATTGATAGTGAAGAACTTTACTCTACTTTTGCTTTTTTTTTGTTAAGGAATAGTATTTATGTCATTTAGCCCTCAACAATTAATAATAACAAAGAACCTTATTCTTCAAAAATTCCCAACTCCTTTTTAACAATTAATTTGATAGTGAGTTTTTTTATAGCAACTTTCCCTAATAACCATTAAAGACCACACAATATTGAAATTGAATTTGAGGATTGTGGTCTTTTTTTTTTTGCAATTTTAAAAAAAATGCTTTGAATAAAACACCATTATTTGAAATGTACATTTAGACACTTACTTTTATAAATATTTTAGTCATAATAATAATTTATAAATTGCAAAAAATGATCTTGTTACTTAAATTCAATTTCAAAATTTTACGATTCTCAATGGTTATTCCTAATTTTGGTAAGTCTTTATGTGTAATTTTCCTAGCTCAAATACGCACTTTTATGGAGTTTGAGCATGTGTGTGTGAAAAGGTAATACATTTTGATGTTTTTTAGGGAGTTTGAGCAGAATTATATATATATATATATATATTTATATATATATATATATATATATTTCTTTTTTTAATTACTAATGGGTAAATATTTGATTTTTTTTTCCCATTACGAGATTTACTACTACATAGGACATCTACTCTAAAGAAGAAAGACATACAAAAGTGCAACACTGCATCTCTTGCAAGTTAATTAAAATACTTCACGCATCATATCTAGGTACAATCATTGTTTTGTAGTTGGATGTGGCCGTTACCATCTTTGCCACCAGTAACCCCTCGAGCATTGTTGGATCTTGAGCTGAATTTACCAAAAGACCCTTCCATTTCCTCAAGGGTTTTACCCTGTGTTTCTGGGAGCAGAGTATAGAAGAAGATCCATCCGGCGAACGCGACTCCTCCAAACAAAAAGAAGGCCCCACCGATGGTTATGCTGTTCGATAAGGATAGAAAAGTCATTGAGATCACGCCACTCGTCACTCTATTAACCACGACTCCCATAGACGCACCTTGAGCGCGTAGCCTCAACGGAAAGATCTCCGTGCTATAAACCCAAGTGATCGGACCGGCTCCGATCGAGAAAGTTGCCACGTACGATATCACCGTGGCGATGCTCAATCCAACGGCCCACATTACTTTGGTATCTGAATGATCGATGATCGTAAGGCATGTCGCGAGAGTAACAAGTGAAAGCACCATACCCGCAACACTGCTCAGTAACAACGGGCGTCGCCCGACCCGATCCAACAAGAACGTGGCGACCAAGATGGAGACTGTCTTTGTGAATCCAACGGCTACGGTTGCGAGAAGCTCTTCCGTGTCTGAGTCTATCCCAGCCTTTCGGAAGATTGTGGGACTGTACAAAACGACGGCGTCTATGCCGGACGCTTGTTGGAAGAAGTGGATGCCGAGGGCAGCGATTACAATATGACGGACCGCGGGTGTAGGATAAATGAACATCTCTTTCCATACACCCTCGCCTTTGCTTTGCTTGCTCACCTGAACGATATCGTCGTTGCAGCTCTCGGGGATCCCAGCCGCTTCCTTAATGTCGGCCAGCCTCAGCTGAGCCTCTTCCAGAGAATCTGAAGTTTTGTTAAGGACTCGGCGAGCTTCGCCGAGCCGACCCCTCATCACAAGCCATCGGGGCGACTCCGGCATGGCTAACACTCCGACTGCGAGCAAGACCGAAGGAATGGCGCCGATACCGAGCATGAGCCGCCAGCCAAGCCGAAGTGCTAGCTTTGAAAATGCGTAGTTAGAAATGTATCCAAACAGAATCCCAGCGTTGATGAAAACCTGAAATATAACGCATGATAAAATGGCATTGGATCAGATTCTGGTCTTGTAACTGTACAAGATTAATATATATCGGCGTTGTTTGATGAGAAAGTGAGGGACCTCAGGTAAGGAAGTGAGGAAGCCGCGAGACGAGGCGGGAGAGACTTCAGCGGTGTAGACGGGGGCGATCATGAGGGCGTAGCCGATGCCAATGCCGGCAATGAAACGGCCGAACATGAGAAAGGCATAGTTTGTGGAGAAGCCCATGAGAAGAGCGCCGACGAAGAAGATTGCTCCGGCGAGGACGATGGTGTAACGGCGGCCAATCCAGTCGGAGGTTCTTCCGGCGAGGCAAGATCCAATGAGGGAGTAGAGGTTGATGATCCCTACCAGGATTTCCACTTGGACATCCGTGATTTTGAGGTCTCTCTTAATGTATATAATAGCTCCGCTCATGACACCAATATCTGTTGGTGCATGTAATAATAATAAACATTAATTAAAATAGCAATTATGAAAAAAAGTGTGGAAGTATGGGAAGAAAGAGATGACTGACCGTAACCAAGCAAGATGGAAGTCATGGAGGCCAAAATAGCACAAGCGAAGGCATACTTATTCCTGGATGGCTTCTTTTGAGGATCAAAATCTGCTATACTACTTGAACTTTTCTGGGCTGTTTCTAATTCAGCTGCCATGTTAATCAGCAGTTGAAATTACTCAAACAAGGAATGAAATACAGAGGGAAAGAGGAAGCGCATGAGAGTGCGGGAAGAAATGTGTGTTTGGGAATAAGTGTCCGTGAAGGAGGACATAGAATGGTGTGAATGAGACCATGAGGGGCGAGTGCTTATATAGAGTTTGTGATCTCCTTATCTTAACTCTCTGTCCCCACTTCACACCAGGCCACTTGACCCTATAGTCCTACATAAAAAAAAAACACAGAAATATATAATTCATTACATATGACATATAATTTCTTATTAATAATTATTGAATAATAAAAATTAATTAATATTAATATTTTTGAAGATATATATAACTATAACTTTACATTATAATTTAATGTTTTTTAAAGAATTTTTGTCCTAACGTCTCCTAAAGTCGAGTTATAAAGGGTTTGAAATTAAAATAGATGTATTCAAAAAAAGTCATTTTCATGGCCTTCCCCGGATCTAGTGCAATAATATTAAAGTTCGCTTCACATCACAGCTGCATTATGATGAGCTCCAAATATATATATTTTTTTTTAAAAAAAAGAAAATGAATTTTTTTTTACAACAACAACAATAATAAATTAATAATTGAAGACATGATGCGGCCTGGGGGAAATATATAGGAGATGAATGAAACGCGTCTGGTTTTCACTGTTGGTTGAATAATAATGCAAAGGTCATTTGTTTTATAGGACGAGGCTTGTAATTGGTCCGCTTGCATAGAATGCAAATTGGAGGAATGTGGGGTCGGCAACGGCAACATGACGAAAACTTCAGTCACGTTTAATTTAATGCCAAACCAGCATTCGACTTGAATTATGTGGATTTGGCCGGTTTGATGTCGGACCAGCCTTGCCTTGGTACTACAGAACCGGACCCTTTGAGAGCTCCTTCCTGCCGAACCACTACTTCGAAAACGGTTTTACTGCACTCCAAGTTATCCTTTTCACAGTTGGATACATTTTTTGCCTTTTGGTTTGTACTCTTTTTGGGAGAGTATTTTCTGGTCTTCGGAGTATGAGGTGTTACTTGAACAGTTGAGCTTGATCTGATAAATAAGCTAAGCATGAGTTATATATCAATTTTTTTCAGATGAACAACTGAGTGGCGAGGTTTAGGACTTCGTGTCGACTCGTTGTATATATGTGTTTGGAGACATTATGTGTTGTCACGAGAGTTTATTATGAGGACAGCGCGATACGAGGTCATGCATATGTTATCAGTTACATCCAGTCTTTGTTGTCAACGTCCAACTGAACAAACCCATGTTTATTTTTTTTTTTTTAAAAAAAACCCAAATAATAAAATCATATCAAAAGTTGAACAGCCATATATGTTCTCATTATTCCCTGATCATTAATTGAGATTCATCACTTAATCAAACATTAATTTTAAAATAAAACTACAAGTACGTAAACATTCAAATCCACCTTCGATTATTTATTTATTTATTTTATCAAATGAAATAGTCTACAACTGGGCAAGATGACACACATTTTCAACTCATAACATCATCTTCTTAGCTTATATTTGCTTATGGATTCAAGTACTATAATCACATATACCAATCAAGATGAAACTCACATGGTAACGTTTTGGCTGATTGAGTAATCACAAGTAATCAATTGATAACTTTGAAATTATTTCTCTTACGAAAACATTAATATATATGTTGTAGTTAGAATCATTTGATTTGAGAAGTTCGATTGCACGTTTTGTCCGTTGAGATTAGACAATACAATTTTTGTTTTTAAATTTCTTAATATTAGTTTATTTAATTTAATTGAATATATTAGTATTCATATACAATAATTACTCTAAATTATTTTTAGTGATGGCTAAAAAAATCTTCGCCAGAACTTTGTTTCGTGACGAATTCTTGCTATGCAACATATCGATCTTAATTAATCATAACATTGCTTTCAAATGAAATTTCAGTTTTTCTCAAAACACATGAACACAGTGTTTTGCTAAACAAAACTTCGAATTATTTTTCAAACTATTTACATTATTATATTGATTTCGCTAAATTATATTAGAGTTTGTAGGACTTTTCTGTGTTCAATGTATCATTTAAGAGATTCCCTTGGAGACGTCCTAATGGATACTTGAGGCAATAAAATGGAAGACCGCGTGCATGCAAATTGCAAGGAAATGTTGAAAAAACTAGGTCTTGTTTGGTTATTAGAATGAAATAGATTGAAAAAAAATTAAAACAAGAATGAACTAAATCATTATTTCTTCTCATAATATACATAATAAAACTTACTAATATATATTACAAATATAGGAATCGTTACACCCTGAAAAAATTTAATGAATCATGATTTTTAACTCATGAATTAATTACTCCTCTTTTTTAAGAATGTAATTTACCTATCCCTTTTAATCATTTTATTTTTTTTTTAACTTTTCAATCCATTCTAGTTCAACTTTTTTAGTAACCAAACAGGATCCTAGAGTTATTTAAATCGAAACCTTTGAATTATTTAATGAACTTCAAAACAAAAGTGTAGTATTATCTTCTCTCAGTCTTCTGGCATTAATATTGTAATTTTCTGGAAAATATAAAAAAAAAAAAACAGAACAATGTAGAAGAAGTAGAGCAAATGGCTTTTAATATAACGTTCCGTCTTGTCTTAAATGTAGCAAGAACTAGTTGAAGAGTATAACTGATTACTTTGGTTTTAAATACAAGATCTCAATATATACTTTAATTTGTCTTCCATATTTACAATTTTCCCCCAAACTATTCCTATTGATTGGGGTTTCCATCAATAAGAATAATTTCCAACGTAAGTGATTAAAAAGAGTATTTTAATTAGGGAAAGCAACACACAATTTTACAAATAACGAATTAACTTAACTAATTTTCTCAATATTTTTTAAACTATCTAATGTTATCTACATTTAGGACATAAGGAAATATTAATTAACAAGAGCAAAGTTTGGTCAAATTAGTAAAGATTTGGCCTGCAATTTACAAGTCGCATGAGCAAATATTGTTGTTGATGTAAGAACTTTGTTGATAACAATTTGTTTTGCTCCAGCTTAGAGACATGTATACCTTGGTCTTGCAAGTAATCATTTACAAGACCCAACTACATAACCTCCTACACTTTGTAGGCTATAAGGTGGTATTATAAAATCTATTTTTAAGAAATTTGAAACTCAAAATTCAAATCAAATCTCTGAAAGAATATTGTCAATTTCTCCAACTTTTATTGGAGATAAGAAGGATTCTCCTATTCAATGGTTCACCGTAGATCGAAGCCAAGCCGAGTAAAACTTTTAGACCAAAAAGGCATCCTTTGAGATTGAGATTCTTCAAAAGAAGGACTTCAAAGAAATCAGACCATTATTTTATCTACAGTCAGAGAAAATGGTTCCAAAATTTTAATAAATATAGTAAAATCTGAGCCACTCAACTTCATATCTCTCAATTCCTTGGTGCAATTCATAAGAATGAATTATCTTATCTTTAGAAAAGCCCAAAAACAACAAGTCCAAAAATAAAAATTACTCATACCATACACATAAAAACCACATCTTTAATTACCAAAAGCTTCAAGATTATCAAGCCTCCCCTTAAATATCTCATTACATCAGCCAATTGTCCAAACTCTTGAGAAAAAATCCACTGTCCTGAGATTTTAGTTAGACAAAGTTGTCCAACACCTAGAACAAATTTTTCAGCATCCTTCTTCACCAAGAATTCTTGACAAAGGATAATGCAGTTTGTAAACTGATGCGAGTTATGACTATTGGGGAGCTCTACTTATTATTATTATTATTATTATTTTATATATATATATATATATATATAAAAATTAAACAAGACATAAAAACGAAGTTGTTCACTAATGATTTGTGTTGAATGTGGAGGCGGGGACGTCCATGCATGTGGGATATCGGATTATATTAACGTCGTTAATTAAAAGCTGTTCCACTCATGACGAATGAATAATCTGATGGGGAATGGACTTGCCTTTTCCCCTCCCACCTCTTATTAAATCTCAACCGCCTCATATTTAAGTTTTTCATTATATTTAATTAGCAATTTGAACAGTTCATATTTAATATGTGTAGTTTAAATTTAACATTAAAATTTTTTATAATTTTAATATTAAATTTGCACCATTCAAAATAAATTTTAATAATTAATTTATAAAAATCTAAAAATTATTAAATCTAATCATGACAGTCCGGATTTAACAAAAATAGTTTAAATTTAATATTAATTTTTTTTATAATTTTAATATTAAATGGAGACCATCCATATTGAATCTAAACTATCCAAATTAATAATAAAATATATAAAAAAATAAATATATCTAACATAATCCAAATTTAATAAAAGGTGGGAGGAGAGTAGGAGGAATATCGGGCCGGGGGGGGGGGGAGCAAAGTCTGTGGGGAATGCCGAGCGTGGGTGGAAGTCACTAAAATCTACCTCCCACAGTACCAATTAAATTGGTTTTTTAATTTGTTCCAATTACTTACCTGCTTAATAACACTTAAGTCTCCTTAATTTATATAATTCTTTGGTTACAAGTCGTTGTGTACTCAAGTTGACATTAAACTGATGTTAATTACAACGATTATGAAATGTTGGGATCCAGCAGGTAATAAGGGAATCTATTTTAGGAACAATTTGGTAAGTGAATCAAAATTACGAAGCAAATAATACCTAACCTTGTGGTCCCCTGTGTATAAGTAATATGAAATTAAAATACTAAAGCACAAAGCTAAGAAGGAAGGTATGTGTAGGCATTAATTATGAGTGGGCGAGAGAAATGTCTATCTAATTCTAAGCAGTGGCAAGAACCCCACAAAAAGTGGCTTCGCCTTTCTACTCAGTCGTCTTTCCCATTATTGGCCACTCCTCCACATACTTCAATATGATTATGGTAGGCTTATGCAGATTCTCACACCTCTATATCTCAGATATAATTAGATATGTAGGTGAAGACGGAATAACATGATCACATTTCAATTCAAAATTTTAAAACTTAAATTTATGAGTCTTTTTAACTTTCACTTCATATTAATTATTAAACTAAACTTTATTTAATATAAGACTTTTCATATTAACTCAAATT